TCAAAGTGCCATACTTTGGGGTATCATTTCCTGAGCCCCAACATTTAGGATCACATTAGTCCACCCAGATAATCCAGGATCATCTCCGCTTTTTAAACCGAGCTAATTAGCAACCTAAATTCCATTTGCAGTCTCAATCTGCTTTTGCCACGTAAAGTGACCTGCTGGTAGGGATGAGGACGGGGACATCTTTGCGGGGGCATGAGTCTGCGGACCCCCGATGGCCGCTCCCATGCTCCTGCAGCGATCTGTATCTGTGATGCAACTGAGGAAACTGAAAGAAAAGGAGTCATTTTTTTTTTTTTTAAAGTTGCCCTGCTAAAGCAGCTGTAAATAAAATAGCGATGTAAAACATGGCAACGCATGTGGCACGTGGGGGGTGCACAATAAACGGAATCTCGTGACCACCGTCGAGCATTCACCTGTGTTGCCAGCACTCAGGTGGGGTCCAGGTGGCCTGTCTGGTCTGTCCCCCGCTCCCCTGGCCACATACACACACACACGCACGCACACGCAGCACTGTCTTCCCTGCAGGACAGGGGAGGTACAATAGCTCTGCACCTAGCTCCCACAAGCTGTGCTGCAGCATGGCCTCCGGGCATAAATGAAAATAAACCCCAGACGCTGCTTTTCAATCCGAGGATTAGCCTCAATGTTGTGAAACAGAAAGCAGGAAACATGCATTGGGGAAGAAGTACTCCCCACTTCTCGGCCTCCCCGGCTCGGCTCGAGGCGGCTGGTGACCACGTGTGGCGGTTCCCGTGCGGCTCGGCTGCTGTGATTTGTGCACGGTGTCAGTAAATGCTGTTATGACATTATTGATGCTTTGCACTCCAGCAAAGGACAATGGCCTATTGCCTCGTAACGTGCGGTCTGCTGCCGCAGTCGGAACACATTAAACGAGGATTCCAAACATGGTAAACTGCTTGTTCCTTTCTTTCCTCTTCCCGGCCTGGGCCCCTCTGTCGGGTCCAGAGGCTCCGTGAAGCCCTGAGAAGGTGGGAGCAGCAGTCGGGGCTCTGATGCCCAGGGCAGCTCCAGGGGACGAGTGAGGGGACCAGGAGGTCCCCGGGACGCAGCCCACCCTTCCTGCCACCCCCAGCGCACCTGGAGTGTCGACCTCCCTCCTGGGGCAGGGAGGCGTCTACGCAGCTTGGCCTGAGGGTCAAGGGTGCTGGGGCTTTGGCTTCCAGGCAGCTGACCTCGCAGGGCACCCAGACCGCAGGACTTCAAATGGATTTTATTGTGGTCTTGCACAATGTTCTAAAAATACTGAGCCCACATTTTAAAATTATGCCACTTCACACGAGAAGCCGAGATTTCTGGCTTCTCTTGCAATAACCGGGCCTGCAGCCACACGGTGCCGTGGTGGCATGTCCCCTCTGGGGGCCACAGCTCTCAGCAGCCTCTAACCACTCCAGCCCCGTCCACTAGGGCCCTGTCGTGAGTTGAACAATGTCCCCCACCAAATCCATGTCCTCTCAGACCTCAGACTGTGACTTTAGCTGGAAATAGCATCTTTGCAGATGTAATGAGTTAAGATGAGGTCATCCCGGTTTATCGCGGGCCCTAAATGCAATGACTAGCGTCCTTATAAGAAGAGGGGAGTTTGGGTACACAGTGACACACATGGAGAAGGCCACAGGAGGGCGGAGGTAGGAATTAGAGAGAAAGGACTACAAACCAAGTGACGCCACGGGTTGCCCGGGGCTACCAGGAGCCAGGGGAGAGACCTGGGATGGTCTCTCAGGGCCTCCAGAAGGATGCCCCCACCCCGCACCCCACACCCCCATCAACACCCTGGTTTCAGGCTCTGGCCTTCAGAAATGTGAGACAATAAACTCCTGTTTCTTTAAGCCACTCAGTTTGTGGCGATCTGTTAGGACAGCCCAGGAAACTACTGCATCCCTTCCCCTTGTTTTCCTGGCTCACCCTCTAGGGATTTGGGGTCTGAGACCCCAGAATAGTAGCATTCCCCACGGCACCCCAGCCCCTTCCCAGGAGCCCTTCTCTGCCTCCACTGCATGGCCAGGGCCTCCTGCTGCTCTGGGCTTCTCTGGCCCCTCAGCCAGGCCAGCAGGACCCGTGCTGAGAGTGCCTGGGCCCACACTGCGTCTGCACCCCCAGCCCCTGTGTGGCTGGCGGTAGCTGACAGCCTCCAAAGAGAAGGGAGGAGAGGGAGGGCTTGGGATCAGGTGCACCTGGCGTCAGTCCTTGGCAGGTGCCTCCAGGTCCCGCTCCCCGATTCTCCCCTGGCTTGCTAGGGAGACTCTGGCCTGCTCCCAAGACAGTGGATGTCTGTCTGGTGGTTCCCCGCCCTAGCCTGTTATGTTGGCACAACCTGTGGCATTAAAATCCAGTGTGCCTAGGCCCTGCCTCCAGTACCGAATCAAAATAAGGACTCTGTTTTGCTGAGTTCCGCAGGTGACTCTGTGCCAGCCGGGGCTGAGAACAGCCGGTCTACAGGGTGGGGTCCAGGTCTGGGCCCCCCAGAAGTAGATTCCGAGACAGGGATCCTAGTGCAAGTGGTTTATGTGGGAGGTGATCCGGGGACCCGGGCAGGAGGGGGGATGAGGTGGGGGAGAGAAAGAAGCCAATAGGGGTGCATTACAGAGCCAGCTGCCACCACCAGCCACGGGAGCTCAGTCCCGCTGGGAACTCCAGGAACAAGTGGGGGACGTGCCTCGGAGCGTCCCACCAAGGGAGGGTGGTGTGGGTGTTTGTCCACTGCTCGAGGACGGCTTCCGGGGCATTGATCCTCTGTCTGGGGCACTTTTGTCTTGCCCTTCGTGTTCTAGCATATTCCCACAGCCATGAATTAAGGTCCCCGGTCAGAGAGCAGAAGGAGTTCTTAGTCATCTGCCTTTTAGGGGTGAACGCAGAGGGAATGTGGAGGGTCCCTGCAGTGTCCTGCAGGGAGACAGTAACAGCAGGAGTCAACCACCGTGTCTGAGAGCTCGTCAGGGGCCAGAGCAGACACTGGGCCAGTGACCTGCATTAATAGGCTTGACTCTGATGACAACCCTATGAACAGTCTATAAATAAAACTGATTTACAGCTGAGGAAACTGAGGCACGAAGAGATTTTTGTGCCCAAGGTTGCATGACGTGGGGGAGTCACGATTTGTCTCCTAATGTGCACAGCACAAGGGAGGGCAAGCAGAGCGTTTGTGCTGAAGTTCACCACAGACCAGGGGCTGCAAAAGGGACATGGACTCCGAGAGGGACAGGTGGCTGGACAGTCTGGCTCACAAAGTATCGTTCGCTGTCCTTGGCTACCCCTCCCTGCCTGGCCCCGAGCCTGCTGTCAGTGGCAGAGGGGGCTCTCCCCTCCCACCTGCAAGCCCAGAGCAGAGAGAGCAAAGCCCAGGGCGAGTGGGAGGACCGTCTTCCACCTTTGGCTTCTGGCCAAGAGTAGGCCACCTGCCCCGGTGACCTGCACCAGATATGGCCATGCCTATTGAGGAGACCTCATCTCCTACACTGGGGGGGGGGGAGAGGCCTCCCCTTTGGCCTAAAATGCCAAGCAGGTGTCAATGCAGCCCCCCGAGCTCATGTGAGAGAGACGATGCGATCAGAGGGGCCACTTTATTCCTTAGTGTGGCTGTGGCATTGGCCCTGACATCCAGGGATTACATTATTGCCTGGCGTCGTGGCAGATGCAGGCACCCAGGTATAAGGTGTGATTTAGAGGCCCGGCAGAGACCCCTGGCCTCAAACGTCCCCTTAGCCAGGCTGCTGTGACGGCCAAGTTCCCCCACCATCCGTCACTCTTCCGCACACAGGCCCGGTCAGCGTGTCCTTGTTCAGCGCACTGCAAATTTGTTACCTAGCTGGAGTGAGACATTAATCCACTAACGACGATTTATCACCCATTTCCACATTAGCAGGAGCAAGGCAATGAGATAATGGCGTGCAGGACAGGTGGATCTTGATGAAGAAGGAGCCGGAAAGCAGGGAGCGCGAGTCGCCGCTAGTGAGGAATGGCTCGGAGGGCCACGGAGGTGGCTGGGCAGGCAGCAGAGGCCATGGGCCCAACGAAGCTGGTTGGACACGAGCAGGGTCAGGTGGAGGAGAGTGGAGGCTTTCTCTCCGCACAAGCCGGGCTGCAGAGTCCCAGCCTGAGCTGGGAAAGACCCCCAGAGTCATTTTACACGCTACCGGAGCTTTGGGGGCTTCCCGGTGTGGGGTGGGTGGTCATGTCTGCTGCAGCCCAAGGTCCGCCCAGGGAAGTGCCGTTGGCACCTGAGAGCTTTCTCCAGGCTGGCCCTGCAGCCTCCGCCCACCTTTGCAACTGCAGGCTCATCTCCAAAGCCAGAAAGTCGGGGAGGGGGCGGAGAGGGCAGCTGGATTCTGAAAGACTGCATGAGAGCCTGCATGTTTCAGGGTTGCAAGGAGGCTTATCCAGCTTCTGGTCCCTCTCATTTTATAGTGGACACTCCGTGACTTGGACAGGCGATCACCCCCTGCGGAACGGAGGGTCTGAGGCTAGACCTCAGGCCCACACAGTGCGCCCCGCGTCTGGCTTGGTGGAAGGGCTTGAGCGCCCCCAAGAGTGGCCACTGGAGTTTCCAACCAGGGAAGGACAGAAGATGGGCGAGTGTAGCCAAGCAAAGTCGGAGCGGGTGTGAAGCAGCTGGTGCAGGATCCCGTGGGGGCAGCAGAGACGAGGCCCAGGGGACTCGCTGGCATCTGGCGTGGGGGAGGGGGTCTCCTCCAGGCGCGCACCTCCTTGGTGTCCTGCAGGAACCGAAGCAGCCCTCGGCCCTCGGGCTGGTGGCGCCCTAGGAAGTGGCACGGCCCACGGGGAGGAGCAGGGACCCCCGCCCGCCAGTCCCGCGGGGACGCGGTCCACGGCGCCGGCCCCGCACCGCCGGGCCGCGCCGACAAAAACAAGGTGCCCGCGCGCGAAGAAGCGCCGGGGCCGCTCCCGGGCCGCCCAGCCGCCGCGCGCCGCCGCCTCCGAGGAAACAATGCGGCGCCTCGGCGGTAGCGCGCGCCGGGCGGACGCCGGACTCCGGCGCGGCGGGCGAGCGGGCGAGCGGGCGCGCGGGGCGCCCTCGTCGACAGCATGGCGCGGCGCGGCGCGCGGCTCGGCGCGGCCAGGAGCGCGGGGCCGGGGCCGCGCCGGGCCGCCTCTAGCCGGCACCGAGGGCGGCCGGGAGAGCGCCGCGCCGGGGAGCCGTCTGCGCGCCGCGGCGCCGTCCCGCCCAGCGAGCGAGCCCGAGCAGGCAGACGCGCGGCCGGCGGTCTGGGGGCGCGCCGCCTCCCGGCCCCCAAAATGTGAAGCGGGGAGGGCGGAGACGCAGAGACGGCCCGGCCGGGCGCCCTCGCCGCCCTCCGGCAGCCGCGCCGCCCCCCTTGCCTGCCCGCCGAGGCCGCGCCACCCCGCCGCCAGCCAGCCCCGAGCCCCGCGCCCCACCTCGCTCCACCCGGCTCCGGCCCGCAGAGGGTTCGCAGCCCGGACGCGGCGGGAACCGGGCCCAGGACGGTGCGTCCGGCCTCCCCGCGGCTGCTCGCCCAGACAAGTTTGAACAATGATCACAGTCAACCCCGATGGGAAGATAATGGTCAGAAGATGCCTGGTCACCCTGAGACCCTTTCGGTAAAGTTCTCTCCGGGCTGGCGCGGGAGGTCTTTTCTCCAAGGGGGCGCGGGGTAGAGGTGGGCTTGGTCGGCCCCTGCGAGCCTGCCAGTGTTGGTGGCAGGGGGGCGGTCGCGCTTCAACCCTTGGTGATGACCGGCGGGGCTGGGGAAGTGGCGGGGTTGGGGTCCGGGTGCGGTGGGGAGCGCGGTGTAATTCTGGGACCTGTCCCGCCTTGGTCTGGGTTGGGGAGGACCCGAGTGCAGAGGTGGGGATGGGGGCAGAAAGCACCCGGGTCGTGGTCCTGGGCCCCGGACGTCGCCCGGGCCAGCGCGCCCCTTCCCTGCCCCTCAGGGTCCTTCCCCACCTCGAGGACGGTCCCAACCGGGCGGCAAAGTTATTGCGCCGTCCAGGGGCGCCCCCTCCTGTGCCGTCGCCCACCCCTCTGCCAGCCCACCCCCGCCCCCCACCCAGGCGGCACTGTCCTCCTCCCAGCCGGGCGCGCCTGTCTGTGACGGGAGGGTCTCCGAGACTGGGGGCAAGGACCCCGCAGCCAGGGATGCGTCTCCAGACCAAGGGCCTCGGAGAGGCGGGGCAGGGGCGGCGCTGCGGGGCGGCGGGCTGGCGGGAGCTGGGGATTGGGGCTGGGGCAGGGGCGGGGAGGGCAGACGGTGGCGAAGATGACCCTCCCCGCCCCACTCCTAGGGTGGCCCCGGCCAGACAGGGCTGGGCCACGCAGGACTCACCGGACTCTGCTGGTCTCCCCTTAGGGGCCCCAGAGCCCAGCGGTGCCCGGGCAGCTCCTTCTCCTCTCAGGCGCCCTCCCGCAGCCCAAGATGGGGAGGAGGCGCCGCCCGCCCGATGGGTGCCTGGAGTGGGCCGAGGAGGGCACTGAGGAAGTGGCGGGCCCAGGCGCGGGCTGGACTCAAGACGCGGCCACAGGTGGAGTCCGGGCGCAGGACGGGGCGGGCGGGGGCAGCAGCTGGCAGGCCTGGGTTGCAGGAGGGGCCAGACTTGAGCCCCCGCCCTCCAGGCGCCTGGCCTGAGCCCCCAACCCCTCCCAGGCCTGCTCTGGTCTCCCTCGCTGCTCCAGACAGGGTGGGAGTGGGGACACCGGGCTCCCTCCTCCCACCCGCCCGGCCAATTGTGCGGGGCTGTGGAGGCGTCGGGGCGGCAGGGGTCAGTCTGGACCACCGTGGTCCAGAGGACGCGGGAGGATCGGAGAGCTGGGGCAGGGTTTTGAGCAGGACTGGTTGGCGGGGTAGGAGCACCCCCTATGGTGCCCATGGGAAGGGGGCGGGAAGCGGGCGTCCTCCTGGGGGGCCTTGCTCCTCCGGGGAAATCCGCGACTCCCGGCCAGACGAGGACCACTGAGAGGGTCTTGCCGCGTCTCTCATCACCCCATGCCGGCCCGCCCTCCAGGTCACTGCAATTTTTCTGGCTCAATTGGAGGCGTCCGCGGGACCCCAGCACCATGGACAGCGCTCATGCCCCAGTGTGCCTTCCCTCTAAGGCTCTGTCCCTTTTTTGTTTTGTTTTTAGGCTTTTATGTGAAGGCAAGATTGGGGGTGGGGCTGCATAGTCCACCCCCACCGCCCCCGCCCCTCACCCCCCCATTGCTTAACCTCATCTCAGGGTCTCCCTAGGCAGCCTGGAGACCCACAGTCACCAGTGCAGTCTCATGTCCTTTTCAGATGTGGGGCAGGCCTGGGATCTCACCACCCAACCTGTTAGTCCTCAAGGACGGGCCATGAATACTGTCGCTCGATTTCCCCAGAGCTCTGGCAGGGCCTGTGTTCTCTGGGTGCTCCCGAGTGTAGCTTGGCGAGTATGTGCATGGGCGAGAACATTTCCACTGGAATCCACTGCGAATGGCCCCGGATGCTCTGGGGGACGCTGGACCCCAGCAGGCGGAGATGGGGGTGAGGTGTGTTGTGGGCTTCAGGTTTCCGGACAGACACGCCTTTCTGATGGCAGGTCTGTGGACCCTGGCAGGCAGCCTGGGGCCCCAGCTCTAGATACAACTCCATGGCTCAGGGAGAGGGTGGGGGAGGGGGAAGGAGCTGGGGTAAGTCTGTCCTTGTCCTCAGCCTGGGAGGACAAAGAGCTAATTTCCCCTGGGATCCCTGGGTGTGTGACGGCACCTCCCCCGTGCTGTCGCTCTGGCTGCTGTCCTGAGACCAGCCTGCCTTCATCTGGGGACTCCCAGGGTCTGAGCCCCACCCCCAGGCTTGCTGGAATTCCAGGAGGGGTCCCTCTGAGGTGAGGGAGAAGTGTCCCTAGTGCCATCCTGCCCACCGAATCCCATCCCCTGTCCTCCCTGTCAGTGGCGTGGTCTTTGAGAGAGTCTTCTCCCCAGAGAAGCTCCCGACCTCCGCTCTGCTGTGGGCTCTGCCCCTCTCTGACTTAATCTCTAACAGCTTCCCTTAAATATGGGCTGGGAATTTTGTTGTGCTTTTTATTTTCTTCTGCAATTATGTGTTTTCTTTAATGGACCAAATTTTAATTAAATACTGCTCTGCCAGTTTCAAATAATGAAGATTAAAATGCATAAAGCAAGTCTTGCATAAAGACACAAACAATCACAGGCTCTGGGGATGGGAGGTGGAGGTGACTTGTGGGGCTCTCCCCGGTGAGCCTGGCTCCACACCAGATGGGGTTCCTCACCCTGACCTGGTGAGGGGGAGCTCCCCTTTCAGCTCTGCCAGTTCATCTAGTCCTCTGATAGATTCAAGGTCCCAGAAGAGCCACCATCTCTGGCCACCCCCGAGGCTGTGCCGGTGAGGTCAGGTCTCCTGTTTGGGGCCCAGGACCAGAGACGGAAGCAGCAGGACCCTGGGGCTGGACTAGAATCAGGGTGTTCTGTGCCTTGTTCTCTGCTGTCCCCTAGGGCTACCCCAGTGCCTGGCACCGGTGGATAATCAATAACTATGTCTTGAAGGACTGAACACGAGTCCTGCTTTGGCCAGCCCTCCCACCCAGTATGACAGCACACACAGCTGTGTGGCACCCCATGCACAGGTGTGGGTACACCCTGGCCAGTCGGTGGTGCAGGTGACAACCCTATGTGTGCCTGCCTAGGGAGAGTCTGGGTGCCGAGGGGGGCCAAGTGGCTCTGCCCTTGAGATCGTACCATCTAGTAGTGAAAGGGGACCCCTCCCCATGAGCACGGATGAGGAGGTGTCTGGGCGAGCTCATGACTGACTGCTACAGTGAGGCCTGTGTGCACAAGTGCTGAGGGTGGCCCCAGGGATTGATGGATCCAGGTGGGTACCATCTGGCCCAGTTACTTGCCCTCTGGCTGGCGTCAGGCCCTGCTGTGTCCACCAGTGGTTCTCATACTTGAGCATGGATCAGAGCCCCCGGGAGAGCCTGTTAAAGCAGATTGTTTGCCCTACCCCAGAGTGTCTGCCTCAGTAAATCTGGGGTTGGACCCAGAATTTGCATTTCTAAAAATTCTCAGGTGATGCAGATGCTGCTGGCCTGGGGACCACATTTTGGGGATCCCTACCACTAACAAGCCAGCTCCACCCCAGGCCAGAACTTGCCCAGCCTTGTGCCGATCAACGTGCATTGTCCTCCCTCCTGGTTTTCCATGTGGCTCGTGGCCGGCTTCTTGCAGCCGGGCTCTCTTCATCCTATGGTGGTGGGAGCGCTCCCAGGCCAGGAGCTCAGCCCCCTGTCTTTTCATTCTCCCATCCATCCCTTGCTTCCTTTACCCATTCATTCATTCATTTTTTTTTTTTTTTGAGACAGAGGCTCACTCTGTTGCCCTGGCTAGAGTGCCATGGCATCAGCCTAGCTCACAGCAACTCCTGGGCTCAAGCGATCCTCCTGCCTCAGCCTCCCGAGTAGCTGGGACTACAGGCATGCGCTACCATGCCCGGCTAATTTTTTTTTTCTATTTTTAGTTGTTTGGCTAATTTCTTTCTATTTATAGTAGAGACAGGGTCTTGGTCTTGCTCAGGCTGGTCTCGAACTCTTGAGCTCAAGCAATCCTTCTGCCTCGGCCTCCCAGAGTGCTAGGATTACAGGCATGAGCCATTGCACCCAGCCACATTCATTCATTCTTAAAGCACTTGTACAGCCCCTACTAGGTGGAGTCCCGGGGAGCCATGGCACTGGCCTGCCCTGCCGACCCACCCTGTTCCTCTGCAGGCTGTTTGTCCTGGGAATCGGCTTCTTCACTCTCTGCTTCCTGATGACATCTCTGGGAGGCCAGTTCTCCGCCCGGCGCCTGGGGGACTCGCCCTTCACCATCCGCACAGAAGGTATGTTGGTGGGGCAAAGGGAGTCGGAAATGAGTGCAGTGTTTGTGGGTCAAAGAGGAGGAGCCTTGAGTCGAGCACTCCAGGGATTCTGTGACCCAGCTTGCTGCCTTGACGCTGGTCCTGGCTGTGGTCAACAGGCTTCCTCTGGTCTGGATGCTCAGGCCAGGCAAGGGCTTTTGAGCCAGGGGCTCCCGGGCATTGGAAGAGGCTGCCTGTGTTGCTTCTAGCTGGGTGTCAGGGGTGGAGGGTCTCTAGATACGACACCTGTCTCTTTGAGACACACGTATCCTCCTCACCTTTGGCCCAGGCTGTGGCCACAGTGGGGCACAGCCCCAGCCATGAGCTCACGTGTCTTATCTCTGAGCTCTGGGGACATAGATCTGTCCAGTCCCTCTTTGTCCCTTGCCCACAGGACACTTGCAAGGCAGTGGGATGGAGGTTCCAAGCATGGGCTTTGAGGACCAAGTGGGTCTGGGTTTGCATCCTGCTTCGTCACATACCTGCTCTGTGCTGTTGGCCAGGTCACCTAACCCACCTACAAAGAAGGAAAGCAATGACCTTCTTCAGAGGTTGGGTCGAATGGGCCCTCACCTGGGAATTACTTGGCACGGTTGGTGCCACGGGGCACGGGTGTGACAAACTGGGGGCCCTTCTCCTACAGCCGGGCCTTGCCCCCTCATCTCACCCACGGAGGGGCAGGGGGACAGAGCAGGGTCCTGCCCGGTGTGTCACTCGTGGGAGGGAGGAACAAGGAGGAGCTGTTCGGGGGCTGCCCCTGGGGAAGTCTCTCTTTGAAGTCCACCTTCTGGGACTCGCAGGGCTCAGCTATCCGGCTCCCCTGCGACGACGATCGCAGGCATCCCAAGTGGATTAGGTTGTCATCAGGGATGGGTGCTCCGAGGGGCTCTTAGTACACCATCTGGTGTCTCATCATAGACCCATTCCTTTGATTCAACATGCACTTCTTTAAACTTGCAAACGCTCTCAGAAGAAATATCACACTTATTAGTCCTTCAAGCCCGAGCGTAAGTGAGTTTATCCCGTCTCTACTCGCAGAGATGCCTCCGTCTCTTAGGCTCTTATTTGTCTCCTGGCGGGTGGGGGTAATGACACCTGCTTCCCCAGGGTCGCCAAGGGACGTGCCAGGATGAAACACAGGGGGAGGGTTCTAGGCGGCATCTGGAGAACGGTGAGAGCCCCGTACGTGTGTGACAGACACGTGGGGTCTGAAAGGGGGCCACTGCAGGCGGGATGTTTGCAGGGGAGGACCAGGGAGGTGCCAGAATTTCTGCACAGGAGACACTGGGGATCGAGGTTGGCGGAGGGGGTGGGGCAGTTGTGACGGTGCCCTGGAAGGTCCTCGGGGGCGGGATGGAGAAGGAAGTGGTTTGTGGGGAGATGGGGTGTAGGAGGTGCTCATGCTACCTGGGTGCCACCTCTCAAAAGGGGCTGTGCCTGTTGGGTGGGCTGCTATGAAGGGCGTGAGGAAGCGGGACCCCCAGAAAGGGTGGAGGTCTAAGAGACGGGTGTTGGGGGTGGGGAGGAGGGCTGTGTGGCTGGCTCTGGCTTTTCTGCCTGTCTGTCCTAGGGGGCTGGGTGTCAAGGCAACTCGGCTACCCCACGGCTCCTGCCCCGTCCCGGCGAGGTTGGGCACAGTGGCCCAGGGTACAAGGGGCTGTGGGAGGGCTGCCTGCTCTTCACCATGAGGCTTTGCCTGGGAGCAGGGATAACTCCTGCCTCAGGTCTGTGTCTTAGGGGTGGGTGGATCCACAGACGGGAGGGACTTGCCCAAGGTCATGTGCTTAGAGTAGAGGCGTGTGCGCGCGTGTGCATGTGCTTAAACTTTTCATCAACGAAAAATACACAAAAGTGAACAATCCATGCAACCAGCAACTCAGATCAAAGAACAGAACATGGTCAGTGCCCAAAGTGTCCCCAGGCCACCTCCCAAGGATAGTCACGACCCTGACTTCCGGTAGTGCAGGAGAGTTCTGCCTGGCTTTTGGATATTTGAGGATGGAGTCACGCAGGGGGGTTCTTTCGGGTGTGGCTGCTTTCTCTGAATAATACATTCGTGAGCTTCTCCCGTCCTGTCGTGTATGCCGGCAGGCACTTGTCCCCACTGCCGCACGCCTTCCCTTGTGGTTGCACCACCATATTTTTATCCCTCCTGCCATTGCTGGGCATTTGGTTGTTCCAGTTTTGGGCTTTTGTGAACGGTGCTATTCTGGTGCGTGCCTTTTGGCAAACACGTGGGCATCTCTGTTGGGTGTGCCCGGGAGTGCATTTTCTATGTGTTGTCATTAGTTCTCAGACCAACTTTGTCCAAGTCAGAGACTTTCACCTTTCCCAGGCCCCTGGGCTGGGAGCTGAGTGCCTGGAATATGGAACTCAAGTCCAGGAGAAGGAGGAGATGGACAAAGAAAGAGGCCCCTGAGAACCAGGAGAACTGACCCCTACGTGGGCTTATATCCCAGTTCTCATTGTCCCCTGTGATTTCTCTCTTTGGCCCTTGGAGCAAGCTAATTTGCTTGGACAGACCCACGGCAGGGGCTCGGGCCTGGGGAGCCCTTTGCACTGTGGGTTTAAAATCCTGGTCCAGCAAGAGAAGCTCCTCAGACCGCAGCCCCGCACCGCACCTGGGGCAGCCCTGCAGGAAGCCCAGGAGGTGCCCAGGGGCAGGACTGAGGCTGCAGGGGGTGCTTGGTAAGTTGCTCGGCTGAATCAGCCCCGGGGAGGGACCCGCGTGTCAAGGGCCAGTGTTGAGTTGTGAGATGACACATTCTATTACCCAACAGAATTCTGCGGGGTCTAAGCAAGCTGACAGCAGAATCAGGAGAAGGAAACCCACTAAGGCCCAGCCATTTAGGAAAAAAAAACCAAAAAACAAAAAACCCTTGCATTGGTCAACAAAACAATCTGAGCACAAATGGAAAAAGCAATCTCCTCGCCTGTCAAACCAGCGAGGACAGGAGTGGGTCCCCGAGGACGAGGACGGTGGCCGGGAAGGTGGAGGGGAGGAGGTGGGTTTTCTCTGAAGGGAGAGTACGAGAGGCCAGCGCAGCCTCCTGTGGACGCAGCTCGTGGGGGCTCCGAGCTCTCCTCTCTGCAAGTTTATATTTCACGATAAAGTCCGCTAGTTTGGGGCTAAAAATATGACAGACATCTCATTCCCTATTCTGCACACTCGTCTTGAAGATTCAGGAGAGGAGGCTGGGTGGGAATTATAACTCTGAGGTCTGACTTCGTTCCCTCCTGCTGCAGGGCCTGGCCTGGGCCTGGGCCCCCCACCAGGCAGCTCTGCACCCCTCCCCGCCCAGGACTCTCCTGTTCCCCTGGGGAGGGACCTGCTTCCCTCTTGAGGAAGTGCTGTCTGCAGCCTCCTTCCCAGCGTGGCTGCAGCCTCACTGCCTCGTGCAGGGCTGGTCCCTGCTTTCCGTCTTGAAGAAGTGGCCGCAGGAGGCTGTCTCTGGGGTCTGCAGGCTGGAGGTCCTTGGTGCAGCTGCCTGTGTCTGCCAGGACCCCCCAGGCCCTGGCTGGAGTTGAACCTGGGACGCTTCCTGGCTCTGTGGTCGGCTCTGGCCCTGGACCCTGGTGCTAGGGGGCTCTGGGGCTCTTCTCGCAGAGGCGGGGCTGGATGGGGGGCCAGGCCCGGAGGCCCGAGGGAGAGCTGCATCTGGCCTCCCGGGACCTGTCCTCGTCTCCTCCGCTGCCCGGAGCCCGGCGCTCCCATGGCCTCAGCTGGTTCTGTGGCGGCCGAGTACAGAGAGACAAATGTTCTCATTCCTCCAGCCGTGCACACGGTGCCAGGGAGGTCTTTGTTACCCAGCGAGGTGGGGGCTCGTTCAGTTTCCGGCAGTAAAGGGTATAGGGGTGGGCACCCCCTCCCCGGGAAGGGGGAACAGGGGAGGCTGGGAGGGACAGAGAGAAACAGAGAGAGCATCTAGGGAGGGGATGGGGCCTCGGTGGGTAATAAAAACACGCTGTCTATAAATATGAGGATGCATTTGTGTCTCTCTGCGTCCTAGCTTTCCTTATTTATATGGAAATATGGAGGGAACACATGTTAGTTCTGAGATGTATTGCTGGGGCCTCCCATTAAATACATTTCAATTTAGCTGACGCCAAGTATGGGGAAGGGTGTCAGCTGCTCTGCTGACAGTCCTGGGGCTGGCGGCAGCATCCGAGGGGGCGAGTGACCTGCCCCCCTCCTGGGTGCCATCCCTGGCCTTGTCTTGGGTATCTCCTGGGCAGAAGATGTGCTTGGTGCTGGGGGCCCCTTGGGAGGGAGGGAGTGGGGGCTGTCTCCCGGTCTCAGGGCATGGGGAGTTCTCACCACACACAGAAGGCGGGGCAGCTCCAGAGGGCGGGGTTGGGTGGGGGGTGTCCTGCCGTTTTTTGGTCTGGTCTGTTGAGGGGGCTTACAGGACCACTCAAGGGGAACCTGTGTCCTTAGGCACGGCCACGGTGAACTCTGGGCTGCGGCCACCCCCACCTCCAGAAGTCCTCCTGTCTTTTGGGGTGATGCTGTCTTTGACATCTTTTAAGAATTGGCTTAATCCCTCCTAGGAAGGGGAATCCAGAACCCCCCAGATCTCCAAGATTCTTGGGGAGGAGGGGCCTATGTGTCCCTGGTCACCTCTTGTTCTGATTTCTTGCCTCTGCCGAGCTACCCCATGTTGGCATCTCTCCTGCGTCCTCAGTCTTTCGCACACTGACCTAGTGGGAAGGGCACCTATTTTCCCCTAACCCCCCCACCCTAAAGCCCACTAACACGTGGCCAGGGGTGTAGCCACCTGCGCAGAGGTGGGGGTTTCAGACCACTGCCCAGCGCAGCTAACGGATTCAGATTTCCGCTTGCACACCTGCCACCAAGAGCCCCTGGTCGCCCCTGCAGGGGTTTCCCCATCCTGCTTAGCCCCTCCACCCACTCCTGCCACCCTGTCCCTGCGCCTTCTTCTCTCTCCTTTTTTTTTTGAGACAAGAGTCTCACCCTGGGTAGAGTGTGGTGGCATCATCGAAGCTCCCTGCAACCTCAAACTCCTGGGCTGATTTTTCTATTTTTAGTGGAGATGGGGTTTCATTCTTGGCTCAGGCTGGTCTCGAACTCCTGACCTCGAGTGATGCTCCCGCTTGGCCTCCCAGAGTGCCGGGATCACAGGTGTGAGCCATCGCACCGGCCTCCCTCTCCCCTTCTCTCCCAGGCGTCTTGTGGGACTATGAGGGTCACTGAGCTCTCGCTGGGTCTGCTCCGGGCAGCTGGACGCCACTCTGCCCACCCAGGAGTGTGGCAGAAAACAACCCAACCCGCTCCCTGAGAGGGTTTATGGATTCTTTCCTTTCCCCGTACCCTGCTCTCCAGGGGCAACTGGGGGTAGATGCAGAGACAGGAGTCAGGCTGTAGAACCTCAGAGCTCAGTGAGTCCAGCCCCCTCATTGTACATGAGGGGAAACTGAGGCCAGGAGAAGGAAAGTGACCTGCTTCCCCTCCAGCCTGGCCCGGGCCACCCAGCAGCTGCCGTGGCCTCTGCTCTGTCGGCTCTCGGGGCCCTGCAGCTCTGGATCCGAGCATGGAGTTTCTGGCCCATCAGCTATTTAGCAGCCTGGGGAACGGGGCTGGAGCGTGGTCGGGCGTCCTGTGACGCTGAGGCCGCAGGCAGGGGCGCAGGCGGTGAGGACGGGCAAAGGGAGCTTGGGATGGGCTCGGAGAGCCGGGCCAGCAGAGTCACGGGCAGGGTGCCAGGTTCCCGGGAACACAGTGTCACCCCAGAAACCGCGGTGTGGGCTCAGCACTGCTGGGGTGCTGCCCCTGCAGGAACAAGCTGCTGACCGGGCCCTGCGGTCACTCGGGCCTGAGTGCCCTGGCCAGGGCGTGGCTGGGGGACTCAGACGGCAGGCCCTGATTCTAGGGCATCCCAGCCATGGTCTTGCCTTCCTTTGTTCATTCCACTCCTTTGGGGAAAGGGCCACCCCAGCCCAAACTAGGAGCAGGGCCGCCCAGGGAGGCCAGCCAGGCTGCACACTGCACGACTCCATGATGCCCATTGAGGCGGCCAATGTGGCGGCCACAAGACGGGGGTGCCTCCAGGGGGTTGTGCAGAGTAACAGCCAGGCCAGGTCATCTGATGTCCCCCCGTTCTTCTAGCTGAAAGGACGGGAAACTGCCTCTTGTTTCCTCTGTCCCGGCGCTGGTGGCAGCTGGGCGCTGCGTTCGGCGGATGGGCCCGGGCAGGCTCTCAGAGATGAGCGTGATCTGAAGGGTGACCCGTGGCCCACAACTCTGTGAAGTTGAAAGGGACGGGAGCCGTTCCTGCCTGTGTGATGGATGAGCCGATTGAGTGGGTGAGAGCGTGGGGAGGGGCTGGGTGGCCAGACAGGCCTGAGTTTGTTCCATTTAACTGATTTTTCAAAAATCCGCTCAGTGTTCTGAAAGGGAAGTGTGGGAAGGTCATTTGCTATTTCAGCTCTTGGGCTGAGGAGGGAATAGAGATGGTGTTTTTCCTTCCTTCCTTTCTGTGCCCGTTTTCTCCAACATTCGACCCGACCAGGGGGGCCTGCTCCTGCAGCTCTGCCCCTCCTTCCTCCTCCTCCTCCTCCTCCTCCACTCCCTGCTCTCCTGGCCCCTCCTGCTCCCTCATTCATGTTATTCCAGCCGGCCTGGGCCTTGTCTCTGGGGCCGGTGTCCTGCTGGCATTTCCAAGGCACACGAGTGATCCCTCCCCAGCTCCCGGGGCCCTCCCCCGGCCTCAGGCAGGCTCAGCTGGTGGGGGAGCCTGGCATCACGTGGGAAGGCGGCAGCTGCTGGACCGGCCAGAGCCAGGGCAGAGGGGAAAGCGCAGCAGAGGTGTCAGAGCAGCCCTGACAACGAGGGCCTTTCTCAGCTCAGTGGCGGCCGCCCCTCCCTCCTCTGCCCCCTGTTCTCAGTGGCCTCTGCTGCCGCCTCTGCAGTGCTGTGACATGGGGCTTCAGGGGGCTGCTATTCTCTCCTGGAGCTGGGGCTGCAGGGGGCCGAGAGCGGTTCCACGTCTCCCCGTGGTCACTCGGGGTCGGTCCGCGTCGCAGCCATGTCTGTCCCTCTGAGCCTGCCGGGTTGTCGGGGTCCCGAGAAGCAGATGCCGTTGCTCACACCCCTTGGCCCTTACAACTCGATTCTGATGCACACGGACCAGACTTGCACCCGTGTGGCTTTGCTGAGAGCTTCCTTTGGCCACCCCGCAGCGGGCAGAAAGTGCCAGAACGTGACTGTCCCTGGGAGCAGCCCTGCCCCAGGGACTGGCGGGACATGGTGTGCAAATGCCCCAGCGCCCTGGCCCCCTCCCCAGCTGGGGCAGCTCTGAGGCATGCGCACACGGGCTCCGGCTCCCGGCACGGCCAAGCTCCGAGTGTGCCTGGCGTGGCGGCCTCCCCTGCCCTGTCTCCCTCACCCCTGCGGGGTTCCTGCCCCTTCCCAAAGCCTTGTCCCTGGCTCTGCTTCTGGGGAACCCCACCCACGGCGTCCCCTGCCCCACCTCTGGCCCGGCAGCCCGAGGCACAGGAGGGTTTGTGTCTCCACGTGACTTGGCTCGTTTGTTACGAGTGACTTAGAGCCTGACTGTGGGGTTCCAAGAAGCTGAGTCGGGGGTTTTGGCGCCCAGAGCTGAGCACCCTGCGGACCGGGTGGAGGGGCTGGTGTGAAACCTCCGGAAGATTCAATCAGGAAGGAGGGCAGGAGCCTCGCTCACGCTGGCACCTGCCCACCGGGGACCAGGATGATTGGGACGGAAGCCGTGAGGGTCCCAGGCCGGTTAATGGGGTCCCGGCTGATGCACTTTGCTTTCGGTCCATTCTGCTCTTCACAAGGTCTCCCTGCCCAGGCTGGGGACAGAGGACAGGGCTGCCCCCTCGGCCCTAGAGGGGCCTGTGCTGCCAGTTGACCTTTAACCTTTGGGAACCCACAGCCCAACTTGAGGTTGAGGACAAACGCGTTCAGTGGGGTCCGGGGAGCGGGATAGGGAAGGGGTCAGTGCCCAGAGCCTGGGCCGGAGAAGGTGGTTGGGGGGCAGGAGGGGCCTGGACCCTAGAGCACGGCTGCCAGCCTCCCGCGCGTCGGGATCATGTGGGGAGCGAGCAGAGCGTGGATGCTCCGGAGGGGCGAGCTGGCAAATCCAGGCCAGGGCCCAGAATCTGAATTTAACCGCCCGGCCAGGAGATTGAGGCACCGGGGACAACGGACTCCGCTGTCGGAAACCCTGACCTGGGAGTTCTATCTGGGGCCCGGGGGATTTCCGTGCCATCCCACGGGGCGAGCGTCGCTGGGGCCCGGCTGTGTGTAAAAACTGAGGCCCAGAGAGGTTAACAACTACCCTAGCCTTGCCCAGCAGTAGGGAGCAGGGTTGGCCCAGCGCTCTCTGCTCTACCCTGAAGCTGTGCCCTGCACCACAAGGCGACAAGGGCAGCGGGGCGTCCTGCCTGCAGGGGTGACGGTGGGGTGGTGCAGGCTCCCTCGCCAGACCCCTCCCTTGCAGGGGCCGAGGAGGGCCTGGGAGGATGGGGTTTAAAAGGAGCCGGGTTGCTGGGGCCTCCCCTGACTGTGCCCACGCTGTGCCCGCAGTGATGGGTGGCCCTGAGTCCCGCGGCGTCCTCCGCAAGATGAGCGACCTGCTGGAGCTGATGGGGAAGCGCATGGACACGCTGGCCAGGCTGGAGAACAGCAGCGAGCCGCGCCGGGCCGCCGGTGACAGCGCGCACTTTGCAGCAGACAGGTGAGGGGGCGCGGAGCGAGATGCACGGGGCAGGGCCGGGGAGGTGCCCGGGGTCAGGGGCTGTGGCCCGGGGGCACGGCCTGCAGATGCGCTGCAGGGCTCCACCCGGTGCGGCCTCTCGTCCCCGTATCGTGAACCTGGGGAAAACCTTAATACAGAAAACCACAAGGTAACGCGGCCCGGCCCACCTCCACCACCCAATTTAGCCACTGTTAACGTCTTGTCACGGTTGTGGCCTTCCTTTCTTTTTTTCCTTTTTAAATAAAATATCACAGATGAAAACGGAAGGGCCCTATAATAACTTCTCCCTAGAGACAAGGGCTCTTCCGAGCTTGGTGCTGGGCATGAGTCCTAAGCACTTTTGCACACACGTTTTGCACGTGCACACACACATGTACAAATGCATGCGGTGTGACTTCAACATATTTCACGTAAGTGGCATCTCACAGTTCATGCTCTGCAGCCTGGCTTTCGTCGCCGATTTTTTTTTTTTGAGCTGTGTCATGCTAAGGGGCATGTGTGGCCACTAATGGACTCCGGGCCATCTGTGCCAGGTAGAATTTCCTGGCTTATTTATTCTATCTATTCCCCTACTGAGGCCAGCGTGCCCGACAGTCTGTGGTCCCATATCCCTGCAGGAACCCGGCGGTGCAAAACCCAAGTCACGTGTCTTAGGCATGTAAGAAATCTCTGGTACCTTGGAGAACAGGCGTGTGTGAAGTTGGGCCGTCCCGACCGGGGAGACCCAGCCCCAGATGTGGGTATGGATGGAGGGGCTCCGGCGCCACCCCACTCTGCAGAGACGAGCTCCACTCTCCCTCTTCTTTTTTCTTTGTTTTGCCGTGAGCTCTTGCTTGTTGGCCTGGCTGGATTTGAACTCCTGGGCTCAGGTGGTCCTCCCACCTCCACCTCCCACGTAGCTGGTGGGCCTACAGGTGTGAGCCACCACGCCTGGCTCACTTCTCTTTACGGTGCTGGGGTACTTTAGGAGATTGATTTGCTAAATGTGTTCTAGCTGCTAAAAAATAAATTTGAAACCCACACTTTTAGACAATTTGCAGAAAAGCTCTGCCTCAGCCAGTGTGCGTGACATAACAGCTGAAGCCCCAGGCGTTTCTAGAGTCGGGTGAATTGAAGGAAATAGTAGCACCAAGTCCTGGCCAGCCTGAGAGAGGAGGAGGTGCTGGAGGGACCCCCCCAGTCCCCTGCGGGCTGGTGTGGGATCCTTTGCCGCATGGTCTGCCCGCGCTGGGCTGCTGGCCAGGAGCCAGCCTCTAGCTGGCCTCGCCACTGAGTGAGCATTCTGGGTGCCAGGCAGGGCCAGCCTAGTGTCAGCGTCATTGTCCTCATCCCAGGTGACATTTACAGAAAGTGCCCTGAGCACCTGGCATCGTCCTTACTGCGTTACCCCCACGATCTCGTCCATCCCACGGCCATCCTATGGGGGGCTGGGATCTCCAGAGGAGGAAACTGAGGCGCAGAGAAGTTCAGAAACTGGCCCAAAGTGGCACAGCGGTACAGGGCTGGGCTGGCGTTGGGTCCGGCCGACGGGCTCCGAGAACGTTCCTGCCCATCCTGCTCTTTCTGGCCATTTGTTAACTGTGCGGCGACGTGTGGTTCAGTTTGTAAGACTTTTCATGGCAATTAATTCATAGATCAAAAAAAAAAAATCCCGTTACGCCTCGTGCTCTGATGTTTTGGGTTTGGAAAATGTAGGTAGTCCTGGAAAATTACAGTCCTGGAACCGGGAGTGCCGGTGACACTGAGGTGCAGTGTCTGCACAGAGCCTGGTTGGTGGCAGGTGCTCATCGCCCGGGAGGTCGGGCCGCCCCTGCCTTGTGCTGGGTCCCCAGTTAGGTGCCGTTTCGGCCACTGGCACTTAGCATCTGGTAGACTATTAGGAACTGTGTGTTGGGGGCCTGCTAAGCACCAAGTGCTGGGGACACAGTGATGAGCACAAGAAAGCTGTGTCCTCATGCCTGGAAGGGAGGCAGGGAATAACCAGGAGGAAGAAATAAACGAGATCATCGCAGACGCTGACACGTGCTCCAAAGATCAAAGACCAAGGAAAGGGCCATGCGGACTGGGCGCTCCGGGAAGGCCCTTCTGAGTCTGTGATGTTGGAGCCTGACTCTGAATGATGGGCCGGGCCGGCCACGCGGGAGCTGCCTGGAGAGAATTTGAGGCAGAGAGAGCAGCAGGTGCAAAGGCCCTGGGGTGTGTTGGAGGGGAGGAGCCAATGTGAAGGCCAGTATTGCAGAGCCTGGGGAGGGGCGGGAGAGGGTCAACCGTGCCAGATCACGCGGGGCTTTGCTGGCCGTGGGACCTATTCTGAGGGCCACGGGAAACCGGTGGGTTTGTATTTTAAAAAGATCACTCTGGCCAGTCTGTAAAAGCTGCATTAGTGGGATGGCAAGAGGGGAAGCAGAGAGGCCAGTGGTGGAGATGGGGAAATAGAGGCAGAGGTGTTGGGGCTCCCCTGGAATTCCCTCTCCGCGTGCATAGCTCCGTCTCCTCCGATGCTGCTGTGTCCCCTCGGATCCGCCCCTCTCCTTCTGCCCACGTTCCCGTCCACCCCAGCCGCGCTGCCGGTGCAGCCGCCATCCACAAGTCCAGACCCAGCTGGCCCCCTGCCGAGGACCCTGCCGTGGGTACCAGCGTTGAGGGTCCGGGCCTGCCTTCCTGGGCTGGGGTGCCGCTGCCAGCACAGTCAGTGGCTCTCTGGCTTCTTCCCTTCCCGGCCTGTCCCTCCCTCGCCCCCCTTGCCCTTCCTCTCCTCCAGGGGAAGGAGGGAGCGGGGTGGGGGTGGGGAGCCCGCGCCACCTCCCTGCTCCATCCCGGGAAATAGCAACGATCCATCATGACGAGCGGAGCCGTCAAACCCACAGACAGAGCCGTAAATCTCGGGGACACTGTTGCTTCTGGTTCCCGGGGGAGAAGCGGGGTGTCTCGGGGCGCGCGAGAGCCGCGTGTGCACGTCCCCTGTGCACAGACACGCGGCCCCTGCCCACCCTCAGCCCGACCCCAGCCGAGCCGACCTGGAGCCCGGCAGGCAAGGACCCGCACGCGGCAGCCCGGGGCTGCGGTGTCTCCGGCGCAGGCACCCGCCCTGGGGCGTCCCACTCTGCAATCGTCTGTGGCTTAAAATAAAGCCCCTGCCATCCTCTGCCCTTCTGGAAGCTTCTGGGCTGCCGCCTTCTACTCATGGCTGGTTGTCCTCGGGGAAAGCAAATTTGCTTTTTTAGCTTCTGAAAACATAATTAGGGAGGCAGATTCGCCGCAAATGGCATCGTGTTATGTATCCTAAAGCCAAATAGTAATGATCTTTGAATTTTCCACGAGGCCATAAAACCATAGAGAGTTGAGGCTGTTTTCGAGTGGGTCCTGTTCGCCAGCTGCCTACCGTGTGGGGTCTGGGCGGGAGATCCGAGTATAGCTGGGGGCAGGGGGGTGCAACGGAGGTGGAATTGGGGCCGTGCCCTTGGAGGGTTTGGGGACACCTGGGGAGAGGGAATGCACGCCCCTCCCTGTGCAGCCTGGAGAGCAATGGACACATCTGCCCCAGCCTGGCCCCGGCCCCGAGGGTGAATCGGCCGCTCACCGCAGGGCGGCCGCAAGCACTTAACGTCTCTGCAGCGTCGTGGGATGAGCCTCGAAGGAGGGACATTTCGACAAGAGGGGCAGCCAGAGGTCTGGACAGAGGGAGTGAGCAGATCCACCCGCAGACCTGGCTGAGGCCGGGGGAGGGGTCTGGGGGACTAGGGAGCAGGCGCTGCCGCGTCACACTGTGCGGATGGGGACCTGGTGAGCGAGGGGCAGTGGTGGGCACGAACCTCGAACGAAAAGCCACTCGTGGACTCCAGACTCCCTAGTTTATGACTTAAGCGGGGGCCATGGCCCTGGACTCCACTCTCGAATGCCCACCTGCCCACCCAGCTGGACGTCCTGGGAGCAGCTCAAACTCGGTGTCTCCTGAATGCACCCAAGACGCCCCCCCCCAGGCCACGTCAGCTCCTGCACTTCCACGGCTCAGACCCTGATCTTGCAGTCACCCTCGGCCATTTTCTTTCTCACACCTGTGTGCAGTCTGGCAGCAGATTCTCCCCACCTCCTGAATATGCCTAGAATCCCACCCCTTCTCACCCACCCTCCCAGCTGTTCCCCACTCAGCAGCCAGTGGGATCAGTTAGATCAAGTCTCTCCTCCGTGGCTCCCCGGCTCACTCAGGCGAGAGCTAAAGTTCTTCCAGAGGCCCCGGCGTGCCTGGCCTCAGTTGTTCCCAGCCTGCTCGCAGCTCCTGGAGCACACTGATCCCCTGCTGGCCACAGGGCCTTTGCTCCCCCAGCCTGGCTTCAACACCCCAGCTTCGGTCTGCTGGTAGGGAATAGTGATGCCACACACGGCCACCCCAGCCTTGCAGTGGGACAGTGCACGCGTGTGCATGTGTGTGTGCATGTGTGTATTGATGTATTCGCTTGTGGTTCTGGAGAGAGGGGTCCTCTCTGTTCCCATTTGGGAAAGGGCCCAGACCCTGGCCCTCTGTTCAGAGGCCTCCCCAGCTCCAGTAGAGGCTCTGGGTGGGTCTGGGGGGCTGAAACAGATCAGTGAAATGCAGGTGAGGCTGGACCCTGGGGGGGTCCCCATGTCCCAGGGGGTGCGTGTGAGAGTCACAGGGAGCACGAGTCTCCTGGGCTCCTGTTTCTGGCTGTGGGCGGGTGTGTGTGTGTGTGTGTGTGTGTGCGTGTGTGTGTGTGTGTCTCCTGGTACTCGTGTCTGCGGGCACCTGTGTGCATGTCTCTGTGTTTTAAAAGGCAAACGATCAGTTTCACAATAAAATAACAACTCCCAGCAAGCACCCTGCCAGCTGCGGGGCAATCAATACCCCCGCTAATTGAATGCAACCCGCATGAAACAGGGGCGGAACGTGGAATTAAGCTTCCTTCCCAAGGCCGCCTGGAGAGCTCCTTCTTGGGGCAGGGGGACTGGGCTGGAGTCAGTGA